TATATATATATATATATATATATATATATATATATATGTATATATATATATATATATATATATATATATATATATATATATACATATATGTATATATATATATATATATATATGTATGTGTATATATATATATATATATACCGTTAATCCTCTAATATTAGCCTGTATTTAATTAACGGCCGGGTATCATATTTTGGCCGGTGTCGGAGTCGGCGGAGGTGAATAATGGCCGGTTTTTTATTGTGGCCGGGTGGAATGTGGTAACAAGCAAGTACAAGGGGCGGTTGTGTCATCCGTCTCACTTTTGATTTGCCAGTAATAGACCGCGAGGGTAACTTTAACCGTGCGGAGACGAAGAGGAGGCGAAAATTTGATATCAAGTTCAAAGAGAACGTGCTGATTATGCTGCAGAACACTCTGGGGAGCAGTAGCAGGGGTTGTATGAACTAGTCGACTTCACTGTAGTGACTTGTTATGCCTGTCATCGACTAGTCGCTGTCACATGATAATGACCGGCAAGATGCAGTCCACGGAAAAGACAGCAGCCTGCTGTCAGCAGGTGACGAGCTCCTGCGCGTCGGGAGGCAACGCGCTGTGCCAGAGCGTCGGTACTGACACCCGCCGTAAAACGGACATTTAACCAAATTGTGACCTTTACCCTCTTGCAATTTAACCTTCCCCTCACCCCCATCCTCACCTTAACCAGCTTGCACATGCAAAGCTGTGATTGTTGACGCGCTCCAGACATCTGCGTCCTGAGCACGGCCACAGTAACATGATCAAATCAGGTGTCGCCACCTCAAAAACTAATTAAACACGCGATCGTTCATGTCGGCTCATTTCCTTTTATGTTTTCTGTCTTTTATTTGTGCCTGATGTGTTTCGCTGCTGTGGAGCGGGGCGCATCACCTTGTCCTCCGGTGACGCACCGATCACTGATGCGGCCGGCGAGCACTCCGCTGTTTTTGCGGTCGGTAGCTCTTTTAGAACTGCAGTTCAAAGGTAACTCATGAGGTGAATATATATGAACCCAGGTAGCAGTTTCTCTTTAGGACTGAGAGGAGATGCAGGAAGATAATAAACAGGCAGGACAGAAAAATAGTCAAATAACAACAAGTTAGTTTTTGTACCTGGTGGTTGCAACAAACAGACACCATTGAAGGTAATCAGAAGTGAGGAACAGAAAATGAAATGATTATTTTAATGTTTAGAGCAGCAGGAACTCTGAGAGGCTGCAGGCGCATCAGTGAGTTTGCGGCCGCTGCGCAGGGGGGGGGGGGGGGGGGGAGGGCTGAAGCAGAAACTACCATTGTTAAAAGAAATGTGTTTAACTTTGAAAATGTGGGCGCAATTTTAATTGTCAAAAACTCCAGCGAACCATTAGTTCATTTTGCTCAAATAGAAATTGAGGCCTGCCTCTAATACTGGCCCTCCTTCCAATAAAGGCCTGGAGCTTGATGAGCTTGAGTCAAATACAGGCCCGGGCCTGTATTAGAGGATTTACGGTATATATATATATATATATATATATATATATATATATATATATATATATATATATATATATATACAGGTGCTGGCCAGTAAATTAGAATATCATCAAAAGGTTGAAAATATTTCAGTAATTCCATTCAAAACGTGAAACTTGTACATTATATTCATGCAATGCACACAGACCAATGTATTTCCAATGTTCATTACATTTAAATTTGATATTCATAAGTGGCAACTAATGAAAACTCCAAATTTGGTATCTCAAAAAATTAGAATATTCTGAAAAGGCTGAATATAGAAGACACCTGCTGCCACTCTAATCAGCTGATTTACTCAAAACACCTGCAAAGGCCTTTAAAGGGTCCCTCAGTCTTGTTTTGAAGGCACCACAATCATGGGGAAGACTTCTGACTTAACAGCTGTCCAAAAGACAATCATTGACACCTTGCACAAGGAGGGCAAGACACAAAAGGTGATTGCTAAAGAAGCTGGCTGTTCGCAGAGCTCTGTGTCCAAGCACATTAACAGACAGGCGAAGGGACGGAAAAAATGTGGTAGAAAAAAGTGTACAAGCTCTAGGGATAACCGCACCCTGCAGAGAATTGTGACGACAAACCCATTCAAAAATGTGGGGGAGATCCACAAAGAGTGGACTGCAGCTGGAGTCAGCGCTTCAAGAACCACCACGAGGAGACTCATGAAAGACATGGGATTCAGGTGTCGCATTCCGTGTGTCAAGCCACTCTTGAACAAGAAACAGCGCAAGAAGCGTCTCGCCTGGGCCAAGGACAAAAAGGACTGGACTGATGCTGAGTGGTCCAAAGTTATGTTTTCTGATGAAAGCAAGTTCTGCATTTCCTTTGGAAATCAAGGACCCAGAGTCTGGAGGAAGAGCGGAGAAGCACAGAATCCATGTTGCATGAGGTCCAGTGTAAAGTTTCCACCGTCAGTGATGGTGTGGGGTGCCATGTCATCTGCCGGTGTTGGCCCACTCTGTTTCCTGAGGTCCAGGGTCAATGCAGCCGTCTACCATGAAGTTTTAGAGCACTTCATGCTTCCTGCTGCTGACCAACTTTATGGGGATGCAGACTTCACCTTTCAACAGGACTTGGCACCTGCACACAGTGCCAAAACCACCAGCACCTGGTTCAAGGACCATGGTTTCCCTGTCCTTGATTGGCCAGCAAACTCGCCTGACCTTAACCCCATAGAAAATCTATGGGGTATTGTGAAGCGGAGGATGCAATACGCTAGACCCAACAATGCAGAGGAGCTGAAGACGACTATCAGAGCAACCTGGGCTCTCATAACACCTGAGCAGTGCCACAGACTGATCGAGTCCATGCCACGCCGCATTACTGCAGTTATTGAGGCAAAAGGAGCCCCGACTAAGTATTGAGTGCTATACATGCACATTCTTTTCATGTTCATTCTTTTCAGTTGGCCAACATTAGAGAAACAAACATTTTTTCATTGGCCTTTAGAATATTCTAATTTTCTGAGATACCAGATTTGATGTTTTCATTGGTTGTCACCTATAAATATCAAATTTAAATGTAATGAACATTGGAAATACATTGGTCTGTGTGCATTGCATGAATATAATGTACAAGTTTCACGTTTTGAATGGAATTACTGAAATATTTTCAACCTTTTGATGATATTCTAATTTACTGGCCAGCACCTGTATATATATATATATATATATATATATATATATATATATATATATATATATATATATATATATATATATGTGTGTGTGTGTGTGTGTGTGTGTGTGTGTGTGTGTGTGTGTTTACTACATTATGCAAAGTAGAAATGCTAAAATCAAACATCCAATTATACAATCAAGTGAAACAGGAAAAATTTGAATCTGGTGCAAAAGTCCATTTATTTGGTACTTCAACTAGAGAGAGAGATAATTTAAAGACTCAGGAACCCTTTTCAGGTGTTTTCTTTTGTTAATTATACATTTTAATTGATTTGGGTCTTGTTTCATATCACAAAGGGACATTTGAATGATTAAAGCTTTAGTTTAAAGTAATAATAACTGTCTCTAATGGTTCTCTGCCTCATTTTGAATGCAAAAATTTGCTTTGAGGCACGTTTCCTCGATTGATTAAAATGTGATTAATTTAGATTCATTAATTACAAAGCCTCTAATTAATTAGATTATTTTAAAATCAAGTCCCTCCCCTAAAATAAAATGATCAAGTCGAGGATTTAGCAGAAACATCTCATTATCACCCCATCTTCCAACCTGAGTCCTGGTTTAAAATATGACAGAAATAATCCCAGAATAACTAAATACCTGGATAAAGTCAAACCAACAACAGAACATGAACAGCCTAGTCTTGGCTGCACACAGACTAGCTGTTAGCTCATCAATCCTAAAGGGTGTAAACTACTCCTCCAAACAGAAAGCCATCTACTTAAGACCCCAGAAACTGACCCGTTAGCTGTCACACCACATGAAGCCGTGTCTCTAGTCCTTCCTTGATTTGCTCTGACTTTAACACTCACCTACAACAATTCCAGTGTTTTTATTCCGTATTCTGTCAGGCAGACCCAAGAAAAGCTGCATCAACAGCTCAGCATCCAAGGAACCCTGATTTATGTAGATCTCATATTGCTGTAAAGCAGCTTTCATGTATTATTCACACCAACAACTGTGTGTGTGTGTGTGTGTGTGTGTGTGTGTGTTGCATCTGCTACACACTCATCAGGAACAGAGCGATAACGGAGACAATGTGAGCAGCTGATTGGGTGAAAACAAAGGTGGATGTAGGGAAACTAACATGTCGGGTTTCAGCTGAGAGTTTTTCATTTTTAAAGCCTCAAAGCAACACGAGACCAGATAAATCACACATCCAGAAATAAGCAGACCTGACTTGTTTTTGCCTGGTTTGGCTGCTTATTGCTCAGTGACATCACAAACACAGACTTGTGCATTTACCAGCCTTCAACAGAAAGACTAAAAGCATCAGATTTATTTACATTGAATCATTAGAAGCAACGTAATGTAAAGAATGGGAGGTTATTGATAGAACAGCTAGTCACCAGGGGTCAGAGGTCAGGATGGATTACTGTGTTGAAGTCATGAATCAGTTAAAAATTCTAGTCTTCTAGTTTTGGTAGGGACACAATTTCAAATGAAAACAGAAAAGCTTAAAATACAATAAAACTCAGAGGGATAAAATGATCTGTACTCTCTCCAGCATCAGCATCTAAAGACTTCTACAACACAAAGAGTTTCACCACGAGGGATCTGAGGGGAGAGTTTACAGCAGACAAAAGTGTAAATGAGCCTTTTGTGTGATGATTCAAATCTGAATATTTGATCTGAACACATTTTGTCTTGTTTGATGTTGAAGCTCAGAGAAAAGGTTTTAGATCCGCCACCAGACTGAACGCTGAACAAAAGCAGAAACTGGTGAGAAGACATAGCCGACATCTAGTACGGCTTTCTGACTCATCAGCAACAAAGCTAAAGCTGCACTCACGATGGTGAAGTTCATGACCTTGAGGATCCAGATAGTTAGCGCCAGGTTGATCAGGATCAGGATCATCAGCAGTAGGACGAAGAAGTAAAGGCAGCGCTTCCTCCAGCCGTAGATTCCCACTTTGTACACTTGTGGTTTCTCTGAGCTCTGGACATTGTTCCTATGAGAGCACTGTTCTTGGGTCATCTGGAAAGAGAGAGGACACAAAAGCCATGGTGTTACACCTAAAACCTGCGTTGAACCATGCACACGTACAACAGATAGATGCTGAAAGGGTTTCCTCAACTAGAAACACGGTTCCTACCAGCGGACACATCCCATCACCCCTAGGAACATTGGGGCGTCCATACTGGAAACACAACAAACAGATGCAGCTCTGCTGAACCTTTTTGGAAGCTGGTCTGAAGATGAGACTGGAGTCATCTGAACGTTTGCACTAATAACACACCATAAATATTCTCACACACTCCCAGTCCAATCCTCTCCACTGGGCCGATGGCCAGCCAGTCACTTGGCACCGTGACACACAGGATAGTTAGCAATTGCATTGACTGATTACCCCATAAGTGGTCTATAACTCCATTATAACCCCCCCGGCCCATTGATGTGCTGATAGTGGCGATTAATGATGATTCTAATTGTCGGTCTATGAGGACGATAAGGCATTGTTCACTTCCAGCACTAAACTGATGCCCTAATAACTCTGGAAAAAACACGATTTACTGTCCAGCATGCATTGCAGCGTGAGCCTCACACCACCAAAACCAATTGTTTTTGACAACCACAGACATTAGTCGCTAAGTGAAACAAATGGGACACGACAGGGCCGATAAAAAGTGCCGAAAGCAGCGGGGGAGACGAAGCACCAGTCGGCTGAAATAATAATAATAATTCCAATCTACTGTGGAAATTTCCTTTTATTTCTCATGTAAATAAACAAATTAAAAAGTAGATCAAGTGAAATGCAAGTGTGAGGGTTCAAAGCAATCTTAGAGCCAAGAGCAAATCCAGACCCCGCCCCCGTAATCTGACTGGGTTCGAGAAGCGCCCCCATCCAGTCGTTCAGCCTTTAGACGTTTATTATAGCTGTACCAAGATGAATAAGACAAAACGTTAGGACTGTTGAATATTTACTGACAAACAAATCTGATGACTGATGATTTATATTAAAATGCACCCATTGGCTAATAAATGTCACACCTTTATGGATGCATTTCAATGTTTTGCTGTGATTCTAGACTGGCTGTGTCTGGATTTTAAAGGAAGACACTGCTGGGCCGTGACGACATCTAGAGCTGAAATGTTTTCATTAGAAATTAGATCAACTCTAAAGTGGTTTTAGTTTATGCTATGCTAGTGTTGTTTGGCTGTTATTAAACTGAGAGAATGAGACATTTTTAAACAGGCTTTATGCATGAGCAGGTTATGCAGTGGGACACGATGACGCTGCAGTCAAACCGATTCTTGTAGCAAAGTGAATTATGTCCTAATTTCTTAGCATTTTTACACATTTGTTCATCCTTTGAGACAAGTTTCTGATGCACAGGAAACTCTTGAGATTCAATTTTGTCTTTGATTTTTGTTTTATTGACACACTTAGCCCAGTATCTCATTGGACGGTCACTGTTGACTACCGATTGAAAACATTTGCAAGGGATTTTAGAAAGGGTTCTGAAAAATAGTTGCTAAGTCACTGCATCTGGAACATTTCTCACATCTGTCTCAATCGGCTCTTACTTTAGTTTTTAGGTCAGAACTTACGAGTTTAGGTGGATCTGGAGACAAAGTTGCCTCTAAAACGAAGATAAACAGCAACACGATTGAGACATAATTGTGTATAAATTACAGGTTTAAACTTGGCAGTCACAATTTATTTGTTCCTTTAAAGGTGTGATTTGTAAGACTGACATCCTGTGGTCAAATGTGGTTACTGCAGGTCGTAGCCAGTTACAGGACAGAAGATTCCAGAAGACGAGCAAAGACGAGTCGTGAACAGCAAGTAGAAATGTAGATAAATCCATTGTTATATCTGGTGTTATTAGTCTTGGGTGTTGTAGTGAAATATTGCTATCTCAGCGTAATGTTCTACGAACTGACGCGAGTAGTTGCAAAACCCCCAAGAAGCTCCGAAGTTCGGAGACGTTGGTCGGAGGTGTGATGGTGGCAACGCCCTGAATTCGGCCAAGTTGAGGCTGCACTCCCAGTGGTCCCACCAGGAGGCCAACGTACTGAACTTGCGACCTGCACCACTGTCCTTTGGCGAGAGAGATCTTTGCACCCGCCGCCGCGAGCTGACCCATGACATGGACATTGTAATTAGATCGAGATATTATAATCAGAAGTGGTTGTTTTTATCATCAGGGAGTTTACTTAAGCACTTTGTATTGACAGAGAGACAAGAAAAGAGAGAGTTGGGATCGTTTAAGAATCTTTAATTTCTATAATTATAAATTCTTACAATCTACCAGGACTAACTCTGAGATGGATGCATATGGATTAGAATGTTATCGTGTGTGTGTGTGTGTGTGTGTGTGTGTGTGTGTTCAGAATCTCTAGGCTGACGTAGGCAGATCTGGTTGTTACGACTATGAACCACGAGGCTTCAGAAGCTGATGACATGAGCAGCCATTTTGCCGTGACTATGTACCGTCTGGAGCCTCCCGTGTAGATCAGGAATGCCAGGTCCTCGGACCTTCAGATGTACTGGAGCTGGTAGAACAGCGGTCACAGCACGACAAAGCCCGTCTGCGGATCGACTCCCAGTAGTAGTGGCAGGTGTCAGCGAGTTCAGCTCTTATTTTGAAGGGACGTCGTCTTGTTGTTCAAACGACGGAAATCTCCAGCTTGACAGTTCTCAGCTTAAAGTAGGAAAGTACAGCTGGCCAGTCTGTACTTCTCTTTTTGGCGGTGATGGATTGAGAGCTGGTTGAAAACAATGTTGAGAGTATGATGTAACTCCTTTGGAGCTCAGATCGAACAGAGCTGAGGTTAAAATGGAACTGAGTATAAAATGGCGTTGCCTTGTTTTATATCTCCCAGTTGTTTATAAATCTTAGTAAACCGGATTGGACAACTTCATTAAACAGCCCAGATTCTGCCCTACGACAGACGAAAGTTCTGATTGGCTGAGAACAATGTGTCATGCGTTTCCATGTTAATGTAGATCAGTCTGTCTGGTGCAGTCCTGTTTATTCATTAAACACATAACTCATGACATCTTTATTTCACAGATCATTCACCCGATTATTATTGATCAACATATGTTTCGACTAGCTTTATCACAAATAAAGTACTTTGATTAATTAAAAGCGTTCTTCTTTTCTCCTTCTGGCTCTTCTGGAATGTAAACATTCTGAAACCAGCACCCGACCTTGGCGATTCCTACACGTTGTTACTGTGTAAAGGGGCAGCTGTTAAGGGCAGACAATTAGGATATTCATAACGCTACAGTGTTTACCGGTAGGAAACACTTATTACACTAGCTCTCATAGCTTTGAATGACTCATTAAAGGAAGTAAAATGCCACCATTGACTCATTATTCACTTCAGACAGACTTTACTGTAACATCCAGCTGTTGGTGATTGAAAAAGCAGCTTGAAATATTTAGAGCCGACTGCGTGCTTGTAATTTGCCGTTAGCATTATTAGCTCAATGTTAGCCTATAGCCTACTTCACCAGATAGGAGTAAAACAAAAAGATGCCATCACTTCTTAGGACAATAACTTCTGGGCCGCTCCTGTTTACTGGCTTCAGCACTTTAAAACACCTCTGGAGCTTTTTGTCTGCCGGTGTTGAATTAGCTCGTTAGCTCGCTGTAGATTTGGCAACCTCACAAACTCACAGACTGTAAACAGTAGCTACGTCCCACTTTCGTTTTATTCAGAAGGAGAAAAGCTGACAACCCCCAGCCGGATGAGAATGATAAGTGTTTCCTTCCAACATGATTGGGACATAGACTGTCTTGTGATTTTTTCACTATTGAATTCTTACTCTGTAACACACGGTGCCTTTAAGTGCTTTACAATTTTAACCCTAATCGTTCCCTCATCGGATGTCAGTTTGCAGTTTACAAATGTTTCTGTCCACTTGAACAGCAACCAAAGCAACCATGATCTCATGGTCTCAATATTCCAAAGAAAAATAGTCAAGATGGCATTTCACAACATAAATGTGAATATGAAGGAATGACATCTGTGAGCCTCTTTTGGCTAAATGAAAAGTCTGAGCCTAAATTAAAGCAGCGAGCGACCTGAACAGAAAGACTGGGTCTTTCTAATGGTTAAATCAGCTACTTCTGCACCAGCTTTAACACCGCCTTACAGATCTGATTGCTCGTGGTGAGTTTTCAGTTCAACTCATTTAGCCAGAAACACGAGCCAAGACGATCTCAGGCTGTTTGGCAATATCCTCTCAGCTCCTCTCCTGCTGTGTGACTGGATTATTAAAGCACCTGATCCTGCATTGCTTTCCGTTTCCATCTGCGAACGCCAACTACAGCGCAGAGCGATGCCTGGAACGAACCGCTGGCCCGTCCAATCAGTCGTGTAAAGAGGATCCAGTTGGGCTGACAGGAATTCTTTGACATTTGTTTACACCCACGAAGCCTGATTATGAAGAAGCACACAGACCATCCGAAGGCTGGCAGACAGGTTTTCCATTTCCTCTTTGTAGATTGGTTCTGATATTTTCTTGTCTGGTGTGACAGGCTCAGATAACTGACCCTGAACCTGATTTAAAAGGAAGCAGATTATGGTGGAAAAATCAGGAGTTGGTGTCAGCCGGAAAGCTGTAATATTAAAGTTTTGTGGGGCTGGGATTGCACTTTATGTCTGAGGTTACGGCTGAGCAATATATCGATATTTTTTTAGCAAGAAATAAGATGATTTTAAATTGACTTTATACAACTTGGCTAGCTGCTATGCTAGTGATTAGCCGTTATGCTAATGACTAGCTTGCTCCGTCACTAAGCGGTCATTCAGACGTCTGCTCCATCAGAAAGCCTCTCAGTCAATGTTCTGCCCTAAACTTTGCATTTAGCTCCCTGGGTTTTAATAATTTGGGGGCATTCGTTCATGCTTCAGAGAGTCTTTTCATCATGGCTGGGTTCTGTTTTTCCGTTCTACTTGTGCGGAAAGACGCGCCATCCCCTCCCCCCGTGTAATCAGGAAACATCTATAGAGAGCCG